GTTGCGTTTTTTTTTTTTTTTTTTTTTTTTTTTTTCAGTATTTGTTTTTTTCTGTTTATCTGAGTAATTTACAATTTTTTTGTTTCTCTGAGTATTTTTTTTTCCTGGCTGGCTGGGTTGACTGCAGCAGTTAAATGTTACTTGCAGGTGTAAGCTTCTCACAAGATTTGGAAATATCTCATTAAGTCAGAAAAATAAACACTCAGAAAAACAGAGCTTTTGTTTTCTTTGGTTTTCTTTTCTGTTCTTTTCTTTTCTTTTCTTCAAGTCAGTGCAAAATGTATTCATAATACATAGAGTTACAACAAAGACAACAAAGAAACTGAACAGATAAAGATAAAAAATTGAAGAAAAAGTAAATAACTAATAGTGGTTGGTGGGTCAGACATAGTGCAGCAGAGCAAACAAGCAACAAAGAAAACCAGACTGACGGAGATCAGGCAGCTGATGCCGCCTGCATCAGTGCTACAGCTGAAGGTATCAATCCTGGCAGTGGTTGTAATTCTGCAAAGTATTAGTCTACAGTTAATACAGGTGAAATAATACTGTGTGAACTCTGCAGCGCTGCTTCTCACTCCTTATTTAAAAGACCTGATTTATGCTGTGGAGAAAAAAAAAACGGCTCTTAGCTGCAGCTTGATTGCTCCACTGTTTCAGCACAGCACCCTGGTGTCAGAAAGGTCTCAGTCAGTTTACAGATAAAATCTCAGTGTATTAGAAGATTTAAATAATTAATGAAAGTATTCACACACTGCCTGTATGTCTGTGTGTATGTGTTATACACACAGTATCAAAGAGGTGTGAGACCTGATCTGAGCAATAGAAAAATGCAGCCTTATTTCAATCAACACTGAATCTGTAGATGCATGCATCACTGTGTTTTATCTATTGATCTTTTTCTATAATCGTTAATTATTTTCTGCAATTGATTTCCTTAATTTGTGTCCATACAGTTTTTGTGCACACTGCCCAGCAGCAGCAGTTTGGAGTAGATTTGATCAGTAAACTGATCAGGTCCAGAGTCTCATGTTAAACAATGATTTATTCAAAGAGAACTGCAGGTAAAGAGTTGGTTCTGATACTGACCTTTGCCGGTGTGGTGGAAATGAGCAGGGTGTCTGGACAGAGGATCAAATTTTTTTTCTCACTGTATAAATATGTTAAACAGCTTTAGTATATTTTGGAGAAACTTGGCACCAGGGGCCATAATTGTCACTGGTATCTGCTTCCAGACTTGCCATCAGCCTCATTTCAAGCAGCAGCAGCAGGAAGGGCCCATAAAAGACAGCTGATAATTAGTTATCACAAAGCAGAAATAAAGGGATGAAAGCGTTTCTTTGTCTCTGCATTTTTTGTTTTTTTTTTTAAGTATATTTTTTGGGGTATTTTTGCCTTTATTGGATAGCACAGTGTAGAGAGACAGGAAATGGGGAGGCAGAGAGAGGGGGAATGACATGCAGTAAAGGGGATTCGAACCAGGGCCGACTGCAGAAAGGACTATGACCTCTGCATATGGAGCGCCCGCTTAACCCATTGTGCCACACGGCGCCCTGTCTCTGTGTTTTTTGATGGGCACATATATTTCCTTCAACTGTGTGTGTGAGTCCCTGCTTTGTCTATGGAAATAGTAGTTCTGTGTTTATTGCCTTTAAAATGGTGTCATGACTTTGTAGATCACTTTGTGTGGGGTCACTCATCTCTGCTGCATCAACCTGTTTGGCCCTTTGTCGGTCCAGCTGTGTTTCCTTTTGTGAAGCGCACAATAAACTCTTTCTGAGCATGACAAACTCTGTAAAAGCCGGCCATCCACCACACCCCAGTTATGGCCTTGCACCTATAATGCCCACTCATTGGACTGTTGCTTCTACCATCAGCATCCTTGTTATGTTTGTGAGCCATGGCCTTGCCAAATGCAAGGAACATTGAGTTTTATATCCCTGCTCCCAGCAAGGTTTGTAGCATCTTCAGTGCTGCCATCTTTACAGGGACAATGTTTTTGAGTGAATACAGTCATTGAGCGATTAAGGATTTTCTGATAAACCTTTGATCAGCAATATGATGAACTGTCTCCTCTTTATATAACTCCTGAAGTGGATTTCTCAGTGCAGCCTTAATGGTATTCAGTTAGTTTCCATCACTTTGAACTGAGAGTGAATTATCACAACACTGGTTTTATGAACTGTGGTCCACTGTTCTTGGTGTGGAGATGGGTTTTCCTCAGGGCTGAACAATAATGATAATAGATAATATAATAGAGAGACAAGAGACAATTTCATCATCACAGAGACTGAATGTTGAAGTAATAATACACAGACAGAGACAGAGCCAGCTCTCTTGCACTGTATATACAACACTGCAAAGTGAATATTTGGATATAGTGTCAGAAAATATCTCAAGGCACTCTGCAAATAGAGCAGGTGTAGATTGTACAGAGAGAATTTCCACTAAGAATAGCAGGGAAAAGCTCCTTTAAAGAGACCTGGAACAGATACTGAGTCAAGGTAGTGAGCAGCCATCTTCTCTAACCACCACTTGCTAATCAACTGTCTGCCACATATTGACACTGCATACTAAATGAAGAAAAAATAGTATACCATTACCGAGCTGTTGTTTACACTGAAGTACATAGCTAGTATCCCAGAATGCATTTCACACAAACCATCAACAAGAGCACCAAGATGGACAACTAGTGGGGATTTTAAAGAAGGCTGTTTGAATATTTGAATTGATTTTTTTTAGTTTTAACATTTGCTGCCTTAGCCTTGTTTTTATTAGGACATGATGTTGTTTTCTGATTGTTTGGTTGTTTGGTTGTTTCCTAGCTTTTTGTGATCACAGCAGTATGGAAACTGAGGGTCACCCTCTCAGTGTATTGCTGAGAAATAATTTAAGATTGTTGGTGGTGATGATTAATGTTAATTACAGTAAATTTAGCAGCAGGTGTTAAACAGGACCAGTGGGTGGTAGGTGGTGTGTTCCACACCACTATAAAGGTCAAAGTTTAGTTTTAGTGGGGTGTAGTTTGTACATGCAGTATGAATGGCTCTTTACAGTGGGTGTGAGTTTGTCTGTCTCTGTCTCTTTTCCTCCTTTCCTTGTGTAATGTGTACAGGTATGTGTGTGTGTGAGACAGAGTGTGTGTATCCAGTTTCCTCCTCCTGCCAGTTTGTCTGCACTCCTGCTGCTTGTCAACTCATCAGCTCCACCTGAAGCCTGCTGTATTTAAACCCCAGCCTGTGTGTTGGTGTGTTAGTTAACACTCCGTCAACTCCCCCACAGCTTCAAGAGTTTCCAATCACACTGTGTTTTGACCCTTGGCTAATCCTCTGTCCACCTGCCCTTCAGGTCCATCGCTCCCTGACTTCCTGTGTTTTTTTTTAGTTTTTTTTTACCTGTTACGCTTGGTTCGTCATTTGTCCCCTGACTCTGCTGGAGATTACCTGTTCCACTCCAGCTACCTGTTCTCCTGTCTGCTCTGCTCCACCCTCAAGGATCAACTCCACAAACACTTTCACAATGAACCACCTGTGTTGGAACTTTTACCACATCTCTGTGTCGGAGCACTAACTCACACTAACTATCATTTAATGTGACAGACAAATCACTGCACTCTCACTGTTGTTGCATGTGATAAATATGATGATGCAATTATGAATTATGATTTTATATGCAGGCGAAACTTAGGTTAATGATGTCAGCAGGAGTCTGAAGCCAGAAATCCAATGTTCTCTGCTCATATGATGTGTTTATCCTTAACTTTTTATCTCTGCACTTCATTTTGATTTGTTTTTGTTCTCACTAATATCTGTCAGACAGGGAGGAAAAAAATACCTTAACTTACAAAGACCTGCAGGGAGGTGTGAATGCAGAAGATATATTTGTTAACTTTATTTGATGGGTTTTAAAGTACCAAATCAAAGAGCAAAAGCTTCTTTCTAGAGTTTGCACTTTACTCTGATTTTCAAGAGGTGCGCTATTGTAGAGGAGACACACAAATCAATTTTACTGTGGCCTCAATGGCCTGAAAGCAATGCAACCATAATTTTCACCTTTGTGGATCTGCCACCATGGCTTGTTACACCTCAACACTGCTCTCTTTTTTTTGTGCCTTTAAAAAAAAAAAAAAAAAAAGCCTTTTACCCAACAGGAGACTGCAGACGTGATATAAGACACACCTCCATTGTCCCCTCACTACAGTTTAAGTATCACTATCAACAATCAGTTTGCAAGCTTGGAGCCAAAAAACATAAAAGTATCACTGATTGCAGTTCCTCTACTGACAACTATAGTGTGGCTCTGACAATGAATCCCCCATGTTAAAATGTCCAATGCCGCAACAGAAATGAAAATGTTTACAGCCTGGTACAAAAACACTTTTATTAAGCATTTATGCCACTTTTAAGAGGATATAGTATTATAATTATTAAATAGAATGTCTAATGTCTAATGAATGTCTAAAATTATGTGAAGAAAAACATGTGATAAGATTATATATTTTATTTGTTCTTATTACATCAACATATACTGACAGGCTTTAGGATGAACATATATATTTATTTATTTATTTATATAAGTCTAAAACATAAGCACATATACATAAATGTATATGTTTATATCTGGCTCAGTTTGTATAAGGCTACATGTATATTTGTATGGAATAGCTCCGATTTCCAATATATTTCTAATATTTCTATTTTGATTTTCTAATCCAATATTTTCATACATAATTTTGTACAGACCTTTACATGTCTGTAACTTTTATCAAAACAAAAAGAAAAGAAAAGAGAAGAAAAAAAGGCTATAACCTCTATATGTATATGTATATTTCATATGAGTAACATCAACATCAGGGCATCAGCATTATCACTGTGATCACCTTTGCATGCTCATGTAACTTTTTTTTTTAAGTATGTTTTTTTGGCTTTTTCGACTTTGATGGAAGGCACAGTTGAGAGAGAGACAGGAAATGGTGGTGGGGGGTGGGGGTGACACACATGAAAGGGCAACTCGCAGGATTCGAACTGGGGCTGGCTGCAGTGAGGACTGTAGCTTCAGCACATGGGGCAGCTGCTCTACCAGCTGAGCTAAACGCCGTCCCAATCACAGCAGCTTTAAGATAAAAGTTGCAGATTATAAAAAAAAAAAAACCCAAAGATAAAGTCAAATGACAAGAACAACAGTACATCATGCACAGTACTGGATCCCAGCGTGCTCTCCGGCCTTATCATTAATAAGGAGTGTGAGCTGTCTCTCACCATATCGGTCCTTTACATCCATCCAAACTAAGTTAATTTTCATTTTTTCCTCCCGTCTTCTTCCCTCTCGACCTCTCTGCGATATCCATCAATCCTTAACTGTTGAGAGACACACTCATTTCACGGGTCAATTAATTTTAATCAGAGTGTGTCAATTTAATCTGAGTTCAAACCGCTAGACGGACACTTTGTGAAAATCTCATTAACCTTCCCATTTCCAATCTGCTCACTTCATCAGCGGGGCAGAGCAATGACTCAGTCATTTTTAAAACCCACGCTTTTTCTGTTGGTAAACAAACTCCTGAGTTTTTGGATAATGCCACAGGGATAGAGGAGCCCAGGAGAAGAAACGCACAACATCCCCTTACACCTAAAATGACACTGACAATGATTTAGTGTCCTCAGGTAGGTGGTTTAATAGCAATAACCCAGCAGGAAAATCAATGTGATCTCAAGATAAGGTTAAGGTTAAATGATTGCAGTGAGGATAAGGGACAACTGCAACAGAAAGACACATACAAGAAGCACAACAAAGAGTACATGCAGTGTAAGGGAATACAAAAGGTGGCGCCAGTACAAGACGTACAGTTGATGACTTCATCAGCGCAACTCAGACCAAAAGTTCAGCACTACATCTTATAAATGCTCTGATGATGCTTTCAAAGGACACCTCTGAAAGTCTGAACAGTTTGCACTTGAGACCAATTAAAGCCACAGCTGATCCTTTGCTTCAGTGATGTCAGGACCCTAAAAGGAGCTATATTTGTATGTTTTGCTATTTCTATTTCTCTCTATTTCTTGCTAGTTGTGGGAGGCAGTCGTACCGTAGTCAGTGTGTTACCTGCAGTAAAAGTTTCAGGTCAGTTGTCAGTCAGCAGAGACATCAGGGTCCAGCTTCTCACTGAGCTTCGTTTAGAATATCTTCCTTTTCAGACAGAAACTTTCCTTTGGTCCTAGATTTTCCTCAACCACTGAACGGATTCACATCCAGATTCTTTATTTGCCATTCTACATGTTAAAACCACAAATAACGAACTGTGTTTCTCAGGACCAGTGTGATAATAAAAATACAATAAATGACCTAAGAACCAATAGTAGAAACCTAAAATGGTATAATCAATGACACACGACAGTTGGTGAGCCTTCTTAGTGATGCTGGCTGTGTTCCTAGCCCAAGTGAGGTCACTGGAGATGTGCAGGCCCAGGTATTTAACTGTAGTCAACAGCTCCACAGCTCCTCCTTCAATGAATTTCCACATTGATGCACAGGTAGTTTGCCTTATACTAGTTGACAAGCTCTCCCACCTCCCTCCTGTACATAGACCTAACCCATAGAACTATTGTATTCCTACACAGAAGCACAGAAGCACTACTCCACAGCCATGGGTCAGCTGGATGAATCACAGTGATCACAATAGGATAATGAAGGTGCAAGTATTCCACATGAAGCATACATTCAAACAGACATTTGATTGCTTCGGTGAGCATCTTTTAAAGTGTTTAAAACATGTTTTTTCTGCTCTACTGCATCTTTTCTTCTTCAGGTTTCCAGCTATGATGCAATTGATTACATGTCATCACTTACTATAATAAGTTTCTTTTTCTTTTGATGCTTATGTCTTTGTTGTTTATTGGATATGGTTAACTTTCTGTTTGTTTGTTTGTTTGTTCCTAAAGTGGTTCAACTTTGGAGCTAGACTTTCTTTTCCCGTCTCCTTAAGAACTCCGTGGCCACCTCTGAATTGGTTTAAAATCTTGGTTTGAGAATTATGATTCATAAGGTTCATCACTTCCAGTTCTATATTTTTTTAACCAACATTTGCACCAGAAATAACAACAAAAGTTTGCCAATCCACTTTCTTGAGATTGAACATCTCCACACACAACAACAGAAACACACTGGCTAGAATGGATCCCCTTGTGACAACCACAGCTCCATTTCCTGTAATAGAATGCAAAGAAAAAAAAAAAGACGTTAATGTGAATGAGCTGTTGATTATTCGGCGCACCAGTGTCTCTCTAAGTAACTACTATACATATATATATATATATATATATATATATGCAAGTATTGTGCTGACAACTGTATTTTTAACACCTGATTATCTTGTTCAAAGATCTCCTTTATTTTAGAGCCATAAATACGAATGTAGCAATTACAGCAGAGCAGATGTTCATGTGTCATAATTAACTTCTCATCGCTATCAGATTTACGGATGGATCACCACAGACGTAGATTTTATACATGCAGTGGATCCAGTGTTTTGCTCTTTGTCATTCACATGATCTGCAGCTCTGCTGCTCATCAGCTCAGCTGATGCTGCACACACTTCATTAAGCCTCACTGTCATGGCGTCTACGGCATAGTGCTTTTATATTTCCACTGATTTCAAGGTGCTTGACAGACCAAATCAAGCGCACCACGGCCAAGTATTCATTATTTGGACTTGGGTGTCTTGGAGAGCTGATAAGATGCGAACTCATTTGCGTGAGAGGCCAAGACACCCTTCAGAAAGCACAGAGCCATTGCAGGGCAGTCGCTTTAGTCAACACTGGCCTTTCATCTCCATCTTCTTTGCTCTCCTATTCTCTTTCTTCACTCAAGCACACACTCACAGCGCCGAGCACAAAAGAATAATAGACACGCTGCAAAAAATGACAAGGTTGGCCAGACATTTTGTTTGCTATCACAGTTTATCACCACATTTTCCGATAGCTGCAGCCAGCTGAGGCTGGATACACACTAGATCAGGGATAGACAACTCATTCCACAAAAGGCCGCTGTGGCTGCAGGTTTTGGTACCAACCAAGCAGCAGCACACCAGGCCCGACTCATTTACATAACTGATCTCAGCCTTCAGACAGCTGATGGGTCAAACTGTGTGCTCTTGATTGGCTGGAACAAAAAACTGCAGCCACAGCGGCCCTGGAATGAGTTGACCATCTCTGCACTAGATGATTTTAGGCCCCAAGTGATCGGGGCCGTAGCCTCATTCAAGACTTGACGATCATTCATCCAAATGACCCTCAAATGTGTTGTGTCAGTGTGATTACTTTACTCTTGGAATCATAAACATTTTAATAATTGTGATTCCAGATCACACTGCTTCTGAGGGAAATGTTTCTATCTATTATGTCCCTCTTTTATAACCACTATTTTGGGATGGATGAGGTCTCTATAGTTGTATGTGTGCAAATTGTTGTTGGCTTGTTGGGTTGTATGTGCATTTTACACACACTGATGCTTTGTCTAAATGAAGCTCTTGTATAAATAAAGTTATTTTAGGTTGAAGAGCAGAAGTAGTAGAAATTGTGTACTTTTACAGCTCACGAACATGTCAGCTGTGCCTATCCTGTCGTCTTCTTCTTCTTCTTCTTCTTTTTTCACTGCGTAAGAGCGCACACTAAAACAGCCAGATGATGACACTGATTGTCCATCATATTTGTTTTTCCTCTTGAGTCATGTTTGATCACATGTTGCTGTGAGATGTGATTAAAATGGGTTAAGGTTTGAAAATCGTGTGTGATGTGAATTGTAACCCAAAGTATTTTGTGTGGACTTTAAAAAAATAAGCAATGATGTAGTTTCACAAAAATACCCTCAAGTGAAGGCGATCATTCCTGCTACAAAACACAAGCAGTTGCCAAGCTTGTAAATTTTTTACAGTGTGAGAATATGAGGACAGAATCACATACAAATACACACACACATACACACACGCTCTGTTCTCTCTTTATCCCTCTCTCTCTTTCTCATAAAGCCACTCTCTGGCCTCTTTAGTATTCTGATGTGGTTTGTGATTCTCTGTCAACATTTGACTTCACAGGCGGTGGGGATCAGATTCATACAGAGAGAGGCCAACTGCCTGTGGCTCACCGCTGCAGAGGCAAAGGTAGGGATTACACAGACAGACAGACAGACTGTCAGGCTGACATACAGACATCCACTCTCCTTGCACCTGGAGTTAAAGGGCATTCTGACATTATAACATTTGACCTTAAATGATGTCTATCATCATTTGGACACAGTTTCAACCCTTTCTCCCGTCCCCTTGAGCAACAATGGTCTGTAAAAAAGATAAAATCAATAGGGTCAAATTGTCAGATTTCCACAAAAGCCACAAATAAGCTTGTTAATTACAGCTGAGGCCTTTATCAAAGCCCTGCAGATACAGTACAGTGACTGTGTTGGGTGCAGTAATAGTTTTACTTATAGCCCCTTTAACATTCATCTCACATCCACTTTGCTTCTGGATATGATTCAGCTGGAGTACATTTACGCCTGACATTAAAATGCGACTGCAGTATACACAGTGAAATTGGATTTCTCTACCCCTCGCCTCCATGCAGATTGTGTCCTTAATGTCCTTCAAACCTTACAGTAAACATCTTTTCCTTGCTTGTTGTTCACCCACAGGTATCCATTTTTGACATGTGTTTCACAACACAAGCCGCCTGTGCAGTTTGATTTGTTTTATTCGTGTGTACTTGCTTTGTGAGGATGTAGGGTTGTTTTACATTACCCACTGCATTTAGGTCGCTCGAGTGTTTCTGTGGAGGAAGGTGACATCTTGCTCACACTCCTCGGGGAAGTACATTACCACATGTGCAGTGATAGTAGTAAAGCTGATAAGTTGTATAGCATGCGACCAAATGCTGATGCTGCATACTGACTGATGGTTTTAACTTCCAGCAGAGGTGGAGGTGGACTGATAGGCTTCCTCCACATCTGCTGCCAGAGTGTCCTGGGGCCGCAAACTTCAGTCTGTCTGGTCCGAGTTCTTATCCCTGTTGTGCTTATACCTTCTAGGTGGATTAGAAAAACCCAAACATTGTAT